CAATAAATAGCTCAAAATTGCTTGAATATTGAGCAAATCACTCATCACAGTCATACAGCAATTGATCTCGTTTCTTATATTTGATTTCCATGACGTCTTGATTTGGGGACCATTGATTTGGACCTGATTCAGACTTGGTTTGGATCTAAATTAAGCATTCTGTGAACGAAAAAATTCTTATGAAATCTTCAACTGCTCGAAAAATAATCATGACTTGATGACGAATGTTCTTTCGTTGAGAATTTCATGACTGAATCACTAAAAAGTGCTATTGATCGGCAGTATGGCGTCTAATTGACTAACATATCAAGAGCGTTCCATGAGAATTATATTCTGAGCATCCAGCGTAGGGTCAATGAACACCTTCGATGAATTGTTCACAGCTGAAGATCATAAAATCAGTTATAGCATCATGAAAATCATCAACTCATAGGATTGAATGAATCAAATTCCTTTCAAAGCAATCAGCCCAATTCATCAACTCAAACCGTTTACTTTACGGTAATGATCCGATGCTTTTCCACAAATAATACTTCGATTATCACAAATTTCTAATGCATTATCAATCAGTGCTCTGCAATCCTGGAACGTTTCACAACGAAACGTCGGGCAGGTGTGAGCCGTGTGCACGAGGAACGTATCAGCGGAACATGGGACGTGCTCGTTGCGAACTCTGTCCAAAAGCGTCCACAACATTGCACCTGGCTGCAACGACCGTTGACGAATGTGTAGGTGTGTGTGTAGCTTTACGCAGTTTCACTTGACTGACAACTTCGAATCTGATCGAAAAAATATGCTCGGCAGTGTGCAGAGTGTGTTCCGTAAGAAGATAGTGTTAATAAGCAGTAATTTGCAGTTGAATGTCGTCCTGGAAACTACTTGGATGTAAGCACTGGCGTTTGTGAACAGTGCGGTCATATGGGTTATCAACCAAAAGCAGGTTCGACGAGCTGTTATCCTTGTCCACACGGCACCGTCTCGTTGACGAAAAATGCCACTTCACTTGGACAATGCATATGTCAGTTACCGATTGGATGTTTTCGTTTACTACTAACAAGTACAAGTGACATTTTGACAGAACAATTGCAACTGAATCATACACTCCAAGAATAAACTCTCATTGTTGATTGCGCATGCGCTACCCAATTCCTTTTGTCGACTGGTTCATTTCAATCCTATTAAAATAAAAATCAAATGAATTCCAGCTGAACAATTTTAAGATAACTGTCCACCGGGCCAACAGCACACATCTGATGGAGCATGCGAACCGTGTGCAGTAGGCTTCTATAAAGCGTTGAATGACGTTCTATGTCAACCATGCCCGGCATCGACCACAACTGAAGATATTGGTTCAACGAGTGCAACACATTGTTTATTACGTATGAATTTTTGATTGTAATTGTTGAACACCAACACCTCTTAGGGCTCAACGGTCAACCAGCTGTCTCT